ATAATTTTATAATTTTAATATTTTTAAAATAATTTATTAAAAATTTAAATTGCATTTTATTGATATGTTTTTCTTATACACGGATTATGTAATGTCATATACCCATTTGTTGCAATGTTGCAATATTGCAAATTGCAATGTAACATTGCAGAGATATTAGAGAAATGTAACATTAACAATATGCCTGCAAAATGTCAATAATATGTCTGTAATATTTTTTTCAGAAATATTGCATAACTGTAATTCTTAAATTGTTACAATAATAATATAGATAATATTCTTTAATTGTTACAATAATAATAATATAGAAATATAATTTTTTACAATATTTATGTAATACAGTCTTTTAGTTTAACAGCCGTTTTTTATGATATAATAATTAATATAATCCATTTTTATATTTAAATAAAAAATTTATTAAACTTTATTTGACGACCATTTCATTAGCTATGTTTTATATTAATTTTAAATATGAAATCAAAAGATTGTATAATATCGAGTTTAGATACAATCAATGCATTATTATCGGATAAGACGATAAATAATTCAGCTGCTGAAAACGATTTATCGAAATAAAAATATTATGTGATCGATGATGTATGTCTAATGTGAACGCAAGAATAAACCAGAACTTTATTGATAAATTTCATACCGTCATTTTTTAATCGATTTCAATTGATTCGGAGTGGCTCCGAATTAAAAAAAATCTCTGCGATTAACTTAATCCATGATTAACTTACCAAGTGACTGTATTATTATGTTAATATGGATAATATTTTTAATTTGTTCGAGACACACACATACATGCTTTATCTTTGCGAATATCCTTTAGAATTAATATATTTATTGGAATATTTTATGTTTTATTATAAAAAATTACTTTTGGAAAACACATATCACTAGAAATGCGATTTGTAGAAAAATTAAAGTTAGTGAGATATATGTATAGAAAATAGTTTTCATTTTAGATTCTTCATAAAAAATTTATCCAAATATATTACATTGCAATATATATTATATTGCAAGAAAATATTTCGTTGCAACATAACAAAAAGCGGGCATCTTAACATTGTTGGAATCTTGCAATGAGTCAGCAACGTTTTATAACCACCATGCAATATTGCAATGTTTTAATGAAATCATTCTACAATGTTTCTGCAATCATCTTTCTGTGCTGAATGGGATAGGTCTATTGGGTGTTTTCCAGAAAGGACACAGTTAGGCACTGTGTAACATAGTAAAACATTTCATCCTTGTTTAACATAGATAAACAACAAGGATGTGATAATTCATTGTGTTATACTGTCTTCTTGCTGGAAAACACCCATTATTTATATATAGACTGTGATTTTGCAGAGAATTTTATACTTTTGCGAATTTTTTTTAATGTGCTATTTTACTTGTTCAGTTACAGTCAGATATTCAAACGAACTAGTGAATTAATTCCAATAAAAACTTTAACGCAAAAAGGAATTATTCTTCCTTCAAATATTATATTTAAATAATTATTTAGATAAATTTCGTTTGAGAAATATGTTTGTCGATTATGTTTGGACTTGCCACAATTAAACTAAAATAATAATAATTATCTCCTCAAATTAGATAATAGATTTAATGCTACTAATATTTTAAAATTTAGAAAAAACTTATATTTATAGTACAAGATGTCCTTGTTATGATAAAAAAAATAAATACTAAAAATATTTTTCGATGTCAATCGATGTAACCGTATATTTTATATCATATATGAATATTTATTTGAGATTTATGTACAATAATAATACGAAGATATTAAATTTTATTTAATTGCTAGTTAACATCAACCATATGCTTCCTAATCCATTCTTGATACGCAGATTCTTTAACAAACTTGTCAGGAATTCCTAATACACATGAATACACATATCACAAACAATGCAATTCCAATTTGAACGCTCTTGACAAGAAGAGCATTATTTGAATCACTTATAACATTATGATAAATCCTTATAAGCAAACTAAGTAATGTACAATTTCTTGTTCTAATAAATAAATTAATGATTATTTAGCTAAAAGTAATAATAATAAGCTGTGGCTTATAAAGCACATTCCATTTGTGATGAGAGGACGTGATTATCGATTATTATCGAAGACGAAAGCTTATTACATTTCTGGGAGGAATAAAATATTTTTTACTAAACATTTTAACTTTTTAAGATGATTTTAAGAAATTTAATATGACATATATAATACATATACATAAACATATTCTATCAATCTTGACCTTTAACGCGTTGGTTAATTATATAAGTAAATTATTTATTTACCAACACAAAACATTCTTTCAGCTCAATAAAACTACCACCCAACACTTTAAAAGAAACCGCCTTGAAATAAAACTTCAAGGTTAGAAAAGTTAAAAAGTTAAAATATTAAAAAAATATTTAAAAAAATTGGATTCTATGAGATCATTGGATAGTAACAATTGTGTTACTTTTCGTTTATAAACATTAAGTCTGTTCTTTATTCAGGGCTCTCTGGGCTGATACATTTTCATATAATAAGTTTAGAGAGTTTTTTGATACAGAACAAGCCAAGTGACACATATTATTTATATTAAAGTTTCCATTAAAGATTCAAAGAGACTACAATTAATTAGATATACTTAAGAGACTACAATTAATTAGTCTAATAAATTGTATATCACAGAAAGAAAGATTAATATAATTTTTTATTGAATTTTTGATATATATATATATATATATATATATATTTCATCCGTGTGTTTTCTCACTCCTGACTCTTAGAGAAAGATTATTAACTTTTTAATAAAAACTTACTGAAGTTATGCCTCAACTATATACACAAGAAAGATCTGCGACAGCGATATCTTTCTGCGTAATCGGAATCATTTTATCATGTCGGTGTAGACAATATTTTTGTTTAATCGGATGAAAAGGACGTCGTGATTAAATCTGATGTTGTCGAAATCATTGTGCTACATCACGCTGTCCACTTGATAAACATCACCTGTTTCCTTTAAATAGATCGTATCCGCGTGAATAATGAGTTTCTTAATATTGATATTACTTCGAAAAAGTCATTTTTGTTATACTGATATATAAATACTTAACATTCTTATATTAAAAGAATATCTCTAACATTTTAAGAATTTATAAAAAATCTAAAAATTTTTAAATGGCAATAGAAATTTTAAAAAATTAATATAGTATAAAAGAATATTGTATAATGTTGTTGTACTCGTGTGACTGATTCGCGAAATTGCACTCGCGAATGCGTACGCGCATTTCCGAGACGCGGAAATAAAAGGACTCAAGAAAAATAGAGATTCTTTATTCCAAGACATAAATAACATCAAATACAAAAAATAGCGAATACGATAAATTAAAGGATTAATTTTCCATTCAGGCGGAAAAACACGTCTTTAAAATCTGACAAGCTTATTTGACAACTAAGTGGTTCATTGCCGAGCGACATAATCTTCGGCATAATACAGGTGTTGACACGGCACGAGCATAATAATATTCAATATATTATTCAATATATTATTCAATATATAATAAATTGTAATGCTTTTAATATAGTTATTAAATGTTCAAATCAAAGCTCGCTATAAATATATATATATGTATATTAGATGTAGCGGGAAAAACGCCACGAACTTTTTCCCATACCTAATATATACATACATAAACAGGATGTTTCAGAATAACCGCTAAGTATTTTATACGCAGGTAGAGCGAACTAAACTGACAATAAGTCGAAAAATCCTCATTTTGCAATTTTCGTAATAGTTAAGAAGATATTAATTATAATACTAAAAATAGCCGAATATTTGGTTTTCAATAATTTTTTATTTAAGTACTATTAATTTTAGAAAAATAGCAAGAGACAAAAATTGTTTATTTTCTTTTTTAGAATTCTGAGAATTTTTTAAGAATTTTTTATCGCATTTTCTCATGTTCGTAAAAATTAGTTGCTTATAAAAAAAGAAGTACTAAAAAATAAATTAAAAATTCTGAAAAAATTCTCAAAGCTCTATAAAAAGAAAATAAACAATTTTTGTCTCTTGTTTTTCTGTAAAATTGACAGTATGTGAGTAAAAAATTATTAAATGAATTTCGGCGACTATCTTGTTAACTATCACAAAAATTGTAAAATGATAGAGGACGTTTCGACTTAGTTTAATCCAATCTACTTACATACGAAATGGTTTGATCATTCTGGGATCATCATGTATATACATATATAATATGACGAAAGACGCACAGAAGATGTCAGAATGTGAATGGTTATAATATAAATCATTTACTATGGATACTTATCATTTACGCAATGAGTCACAGTGAGTATAACGTTTATTAATAATCAATCTGCAACGAAATTTGCTCTCGTATTTCAAAACACAATGTGGATATTTGCTAAGCGGAGAATCTGTATCGATGATGGTAAATATCATAAATATCATAAATAAAGAATTTTACGAGCCGTAATTTATTTAAATATTAGTCACTTATGTGATGAATTTAATTAAAAATTTAATGAAAAGATGTGTAAACAATTTTTAAAAATATATATACAATTATAAATTTAATCACACATGCACTCACATTATATTCTATTTTTTATTTTTATTTTGAAATTATTTTACTGATACAAAAGTTCAGTTAAAAAGAACAGGCCTAACGTAAATATTTAAATGAATCTATTTCTCTTTAATATTATAAAAATAATTCTTTAATTCAATAAATTTTAAATTTGAAAAATCTCAAGTCTTGCGACTTATTTGTATCTTTTTAATTACATTTAATTACATCTAATTATAATTTAACTTCAAATAAAACAATCTCAAAGTACTAAAGCATTTGTATTTTTACAATTATACTTACGCAGAATATAAATTTCGCAATTTGAAATATAATTGGATATTTATGATTATAAATATTAATGATTATACTAGTTTGTAATTTATAGTTTTAAATCATAATCTGAACAAACTTTGTCATTTCTTATAGTTTTTTTTACGTACTAAACATAAATCTATTTTCTAAATTTGGCTATATCACGAAATGAATGAAATTTTGAGAAAAAATTTACTCTCTCTCTCTCTCTCTCTCTCTCTCTCTCTCTCTCTCTCTCTCTCTCTCTCTCTCTCTCTGTCGATGCTTTTTGTGACATAAGAACACTCATAAAAACACTCAAAATTGCTCTTTGACGCCATTTTTATGATATGAAACCAAAGAACAATATTAAAAAATAGACATGTTTCCTCATTAATGAAAAACAGTAAATTTGACAGATTTCTGAATGTATCTGTATGTATTTTATAATAATCAAGCACGTTTTTATCACAAATTAACAATTGAGAAATGATCTAATTTTTTCCTTTTTTTATTTTAAATTTACTGAAGATGATTCGAAGATGAATTGAAATGTTCTTGTATTGTAATTATTATTAAATACATTAATTGATTAATTCATACATTATTTAATGCGTTCATCTCTTATAATCCATTTTTTTTATTGTTTTTTATTTAGTTTTGAGAGAATTAAACTTAAGAGAGAATCTTTTAACTTTCTCTTATTTAAAATTGTTAATTTTTATTATAAATACAATTATCATGTTTTTATAGATTTTGGTAAAAATAAATATGCGTAATTTTAAACGAGTCTACAAATTGAATATAACTCTTAATTTTTTTTTCTCTATAATTTCTGTACCAAATATTTTTTTACGGAACAACGGTATAGTTAAAATTTGTTATGTGTATAAATGAAATAGAATGTCGCGTCTAACAATACTAATAACATATCTAGTGTTTGTGAGAAATGATTCCCATATGATATGATAATTAAATATTTAAATATATGCATATATATACTTGAACATTGTACCACAATATGCTATATATTATTATTATTAAACATAATATATTTGTCGACACGCATGATTAATAATCGCTCTCATTTCTTATCTAAAATCACCGAGTCAAACGGTTTTTCCAACACGTTATCTAAATAAGATTTAATCCACGATTTTGCGATTTTTAATCACAAATGACCATATAATGACGCAGTTCCAAGGGATATTCTAAGAACGTTCAGAAGATGTCCCTCAGAAAGCTGTGTTAAAGTTTGATATCATCTGCATAAATTACCTATTTTATGAATTACCTATTTTATTTTATATTATAATTAAAATCAAATCAAATTACTTCTCAATAGTTCAATTATTATAAAATGATCAAACGATCAAAATGATATATTGATAGAAAAAGAATAGAAATTTTATAAATAGTAAAGGAGAACGTTTTCATTAAAAATATGTAGTGAAATATAATATTAATGGTTGAATATTTGTACACATAACAAATTTTTATTTTATGCAAAATAATATTATCCATAACTTAATTTTTTTTACAACTGCAAATATTAAAGAAAAACATATTTCTAAATATAAAGATATTTAAATATCAGATGTAGATATAATTTTTTTTAATCGCGCGCGCGCGCGCGCGCGCGCGCGTGTGTGTGTGTGTGTGTGTATGTGTATGTGTAAAGAATGTTTATTTAAAAAATACTAGGTAATTTGATAGAAGAAATTATTCTTATAGTAAAAGATCATAATCCTGTTGTATATACTCCAGACATCACGCAAGTCTAAAAGACATCCGAAAAACATTTTAAAAGAAACATCTTTAAAATCTTTTCAAAAAACATTTTTTTATACTTCTTTCAGACTTTCTGGAAAGATGTCTGAAAATTCTTCTTTTGAAGCATACTACTATTTATATTATTGATTATAATGTATTTACTGAGAAATGACAAACATTAAGTAAACATATTTTTATCTTCTAACTGTATTACAAGGAAACATATTATATTTTTCCGGACATAATTGTAAAGAAGATGATATGTGACAGAGTATTCGATTACTTGCGTCACATAAATCGCATTTCATATTAAATTCTGTGATTTGTAAGATCCATGATACGAGAAACACTTAAGCCTAGTTTCACAGCTCACAGTTAATTTTTAACCGAGATTCAACTTATTTCTCATCTTTGTCCAATTCTGGAATTAAACAGTAAAACGTAAGTAGTAAGCAAATTAATATGTTGGATACTACTTATATTATAGCCATATGGTCTTTTCTGTGATCGACCAATTCGCTTATTGCTTATACATTTCATTGCTTAAATTTTTTTTTATGCCATGGCAGCTCTAAAGATAATTATCAAAAGTCATCGATAATCTCAAATCGTTGATGTGAGATTGATTATCAATATTTATCGATTATTCCGATAATTAAAAAAATTTGATTATGTCTATATTTAAGTATTAATGAAATTTTGAGAAAAAATTTGCTGCCCGATGCTACAATGTCATAAAAATTTTCAAAATTTGACGCTATTTAAAATAAAATTAAATGCTAGCTATTGTGTTATATTGACATATTAGCGTCATGATATAATGGCAAGTTACTGACTAAATAATTTCATATAAGTAATCATCAGAATTCACCACCTAGATAATAGAGAAGATATTAAGAGGGCCCACCACGTCTACCATAATATCGCCTTTTCCTCAATACATGCAAATAAACATTATACATTTTTACAAAGGAAAAGAAATGGGTTTATATATTTGACTGTACACAAGTTATAAAGCATATCTATTTATTACATTTCACGCTGTATAACAAATAGAAACGTCATAGAATAGTATAACATGACCATTTGTTATCATCTATTATCGAGATATTTGTAATTACAATCGTTGATTTAGAAATTGAAAGCTAATCCGCTTAGGCAATTGAATTTTTATACTTAAAAAGCGCGTTGATATTTCGGCGTAGGTAGAATATATCATAATTTTATTTATCGCAAATTGTAATCATTTTTCTAATATCACTGGAAAGTGCAGTCAGGTGGAGGCATTGTTTGTTATAGATGCATCGTTTGCGGTAGTTTCTTGATCGAATTATCTTGATTCTACCAGAACTTATTTCTTCACTAGATTCATTGCTTTCAGTAGAGGGTACTTTTCACCGCAAAGTCCTTTAAAGTCGTCAGTATCGATACTCCATGTCATTAGACCTCCAAGACCTTTGTCTTTGACGTATTGAGCTTTTATTTGAATAGATCTGTAAAAACATATAATTGTTTTAAAAAAAGTTGTAGGCAAAATGGATAATTTTTTAAATGTATTATATATTTTTTTTACACAATTGATTAATTTAATTATTCATGAAAGTATTAAGATATACGATATATTAAGATTATAAAAAAATTAATAGTTTGCGAGAATATTTAATATTTCATGTCAATATGTGCCAGAATAAATTGTAGCAATATTGCTGCAAGTTCTGTACTGTTGGGATATAAAATATCTTGTAAACTATTGGTTTTTTGATGTTTCAACTTTAATATTTTTATATGCAGAATAATTAGAGAAATCATATTATATTAAAGAATCATATAATTTTATTTAAATGAAAGTTATCTTCATATCTTTCTGGTATCTAGAAGAAAAACAACTTAACCAAAATATATCCCTTTCGAAACTCCATTTCCATTTCTAAAACTTTTTATACCTTTTATACTTACTTTTCGAGATATTTCTATGTGAATATTAAGATGAAATATCTTGTATTTATAGTATACGTTATTATATTTTCATACAGTGAAACATGTCAATGGATTGAATGGGTTGAAAAAGAGAGAGACGACGTTATTAAAATTATATTATAGAAAATTATTAGTAAAAATAATTGCCATATGAATTTAGAGAATAAAAGGGAGAGTTACATCAGTAGAGAATTATATCAGTATACTTACGTTTTATCCTCATAGCCAACCCATTGATTACCCTTGTAAGCATAAGGAGATTTTTCCTTATCACCGCGTATAATAGTCCAGCCTCCCTGGTTAAGTTTTTCGCAAATCTCATTGTATCCAAGATAGCCACCCTCTTGAGTATACGGGCCGGATGAAGATGGTCCAGAGGAAGGAGCTCCAATGCCATTATTTTTACTATTGGAGAGAGTGAAGGCCCTACCGTAGAATGGCACTCCAAGGATTAGTTTCTCAGGTGGGCAACCATTCTTCAACCAATAGAGTACGGCTGCGTGCTGGAGAAATAAATGTTTTCTTTAAACTTTTCAATGAAATCGAAATTAATATTCGATAATTTCAAATATCGGATGCGAGAATACTTACAACGGTGAGCTTGTCTCCGCTCGTGGGCGAATAAAGTCCAGCGTGATGACCAGTGACGCCGTCCCAAGTACCGTGAAGATCGTATGTCATAAGATTGATGAAGTCCACATTTTGGGCTACTTTGTCGATTTTGTAAGATAAACTGGCAAGCGACTCGGTAGCACCAACGGCAACACTAAGAATCTTTCCTTTTTTTTTTAATTCAGTATTGCATTCCTTGAGCATTTCCACAAAGTTGTTTATGTCTTCTTGTTTTCCACCACGCTGGTTCGGATATTCCCAATCGATATCGAAACCATCGAAACCATATTTGTCCACAAATGTAGCGCTATTCTTGGCAAATGCTTTACGAAGAGCTGGATTGCTAGCGACTTTAGAGAATGTCGTGGATCCCTCGTTCCATCCACCGATAGCGACCATCATTTTAGTGCTGGGGCTCTTTTTTTTAAGACCGATGAATTTGCCAAAACCGTTCAAGCCGTAATTGTCGCCAACATCATTCCATGCATCTAAAATTCGGATGCTGCCATCCGAATTGATGCCGACAAAGCCATAGATGGCATGAGTGCAAAGAGACGGATCAATTTGTGAGACGTCAAATTTGCCATTACCATTTCGATAACCAGCCCAGCTACCGTAATAGCATACAACTTTCTCTGAAAGAGTTCAGAAAAATATTACTGCAATTAACAATTAAATTCATATCTTTTTAATTGTATAATTCTTTTTTTAATTTATTTCCTTAATCAATACACACACACACATACACACACACACACACACACACACACACACACACACA